AACAAAACAAAACAAAACAATGCAACAATAAAAATTCATACAGATAAAAAATATAGTATAACAGCTATTTACATAGCATTTACGTTGTATTAGATATTATAAGTAATCTAGAGGTGACTTAAAGTATGTGGGAGGAAGTGTGTAGGTTATATGCAAATACACTATTTTATATAAAGGACTTGAACAACCATGGATTTTGGTATCTGCGGGGGGTCCTGGAACCAATCCCTGAGGATTCCCAGGGACAACGGTGTCTGTTTTTGAATGAATGCGTGAGCACATGAGGAACGGGGAAAGGAATTATTGAGTGCTTCCTTGTGTTCCTCTATGTACACCATATATTTCTATCCAGCATTTCTATGGCCTGGGAGGGTGACAGAGGACTCCCTCCTGTGTCCAACCCCTGCCTTGAACACAGTGGTAGCAATTGTTCTAACTGGATTTTGTGCCCCTCCACTTGACCAACAGACAACCTGAAGAGCCACCCTCCCGTGCCTGGCCAAGGCCCCTGCCTGCTTCCTGGCTTCCGCGTCTTGAAGGACTTTTTGGCCCACCATGCTCAGATTGCAGAAGTCCACCTCATCGTGTCCAGCTTCTTCCTGCAGACGCCGCTCACAGAGCTGACCCACGCGCCCAGGGTAGGTTCCCGGAGCAGCCAGGGTGGAGCGACACTCTCGGTTCTCTGGTTCCCTGAGACTAAGGCAGTTCCCTAGGATGCCCCACACCTCCCCACTCCACTTCCCCCACCTCGGACGAGTCCTGACCCCTCCTTCCCCGGAGCCTGCACCCCTCAGCAGGCTCCTCAGATGCCCTCGTGTCTGTACCCTTGGCAGCCTTGGCCATCTCCCTCCCAGCAAGTCTCTGATTTGGATCAGTTTCATTTTTAAATCTTTCTCCTTTTGGGCGAAGCCAGGGAAATTACTTCAGATGGGTGGCATTGCCTCAGCACCTGCCCTCTGCAACCTTCTTATGCAGGGACCCTTGACATCACCTTCTCTCCACTGTCACTGGGAAAGGGAGGCTTCTCCCGGCTGACCTCGACCTCCTCAGTCCTGCCCGTGACCTCGTGCACAGTTACCTTGTCTTCTGCACTGACACTTTCCCCTTCCTCCTGACTCCTTCCTCATAGGCTGTAAGTGTGTTCCACTGTGTTCCACTGAGGACCAGATGCTGCCCCTTGACTCACACTACTGACCTCTGCTGCTCTCCTTATCACTTTCCTGTCCTTCCTTGGCCAGATTTCTCTGAAGAGGAGCCCATTCTCCCTGTCCACACCTCTCCCACCTGCACACTCTCACCCACCTGCACCAAACCCGTCTTCGCTGGCTTCCATTCCCACGGGATGAGGTGCAGACTGCACCGCTGGCACCGAGATCTCTCCTCTCCGGACTCCTGACTTGTCTCTCTGCCCGCCCCGCGTCACCACCCTCATGCTGTGGCTCTCCGAATCACCTCTCCAGGATACCCAGCTCTTCTGCTCCCCAGCCACTGCCTGGACTGACTGTTTTTTCCCACCATCACCTGCATGGTGGGAGTGTTCTCCCTCATTTCTCAGCTCAGATGCCACCTCCTGCCTAGACAGACAGAGGGCTATTTCCTGCTTTGTGCCTCCGTGCACCTTCCCCTCATACAGCACCAGCACATTCACATGCCTGCCCGCCTCCTTAGACACTGAGCACCTGAGAGCAGACCCCACCTTTTTACTCGCCTTCCCGGCACCTGACAGGTAGTGGACTTGGACATTGTTTCTTGGTCTTGATTGAGTTAAGTTAAACTGAACTGAATTGAAATAGGGGAACAGCTTGGCTTTGTAAAGAAAAGGCTGAAAAATCCATCTCTCTGGCACATCTTATATCTGACATTTAAATCTTGATGTATGCTAATAGTGTTGTAGATCACACTTCAAAACACAGTTCTTACTATGCTATGCTAAATTTTTTACTTCTCTGTAAACACATCATAGGAAATAAACATCTGCTGAGTGTCAGGACCCATATAGATGTTTTACATATTTTATTTCACTTGATATTTAAACAATCCCATGGGGTAGATAATATAATTTTAATTTCTCAGAGAAGGAAGCTTAACTCCAAAAGGCTACATAGTCCACCTGAGCCCAGCTCGTGCCACCCTGATTCTAAACCCCACATTCTCTCCTCTACACTCTGCGTTTTCCTCTGTAGACTTTGAATTCTTCTTAGTTGCCAGTGGGTCTTCAGCACCTTCTTAGAGTTGTGTGTTTCCTGTATGCATCAACCAGGCTAGAATTTCCCATATGGGTTAATCACCTAGGCTGCTGCTATGCTAGGTTGTTTTTCCCACTGGGGGCCCCTGGGAAAAGTGAGGCGTTGACCACAAAGCCAATCCCCTTGGTGTGCAGCTGCAGGTCTCCTATGGCCCCTGCCTTCTCTTTCAGGACAGCCTGGATGCCATGCTTCAGTGGCTCCTGCAAAAGCACCACCAGGAAGAAGTCCTCCGGGCCGGGTTGTGCATGGAAGGTGCCCTGCTGCTCCTGGAAATGCTGAGGTTCAACATATGCAAATCAATAAATGTGATCCACCATATTAATAAAATCAAACACAAGGACCATATGATCATCTCTATTGACGCCGAAAAAGCATTTGATAAAATCCAACACTCATTCATGATAAAGACCCTTTATAAATTAGGTATAGACGGAAAATATCTCAACATAATTAAAGCCATATACAATAAACCCACGGCCAATATCATCCTGAATGGGGAAAAACTAAAAGCTTTTCCTTTAAGAACAGGAACCAGACAAGGATGCCCACTCTCACCACTCCTATTCAACATAGTTTTGGAAGTATTAGCCAGAGCAATCAGAGAAGAGAAGGAAATAAAGGGCATTCAGATTGGAAAGGAGGAAGTCAAACTGTCCCTGTTTGCAGATGACATGATCCTATATATTGAACAGCCCAAATCATCTATTAAAAAACTCTTAGAGGTGATAAAAGAGTTCAGCACAGTAGCAGGATACAAAATCAACACACAAAAATCAGTAGCATTTCTTTTCACCAATAGTGAACAAGCAGAAAGAGAAATCAAGAAAGCCTGCCCATTCACAATAGCCACCAAAAAAATAAAATACTTAGGAATTGAACTAACTAAGGATGTGAAAAATCTCTATAATGAGAAGTATAAACCACTCCTGAGAGAAATTAGAGAGGATACAAGAAGATGGAAAGACATCCCATGCTCCTGGATTGGAAGAATCAATATAGTGAAAATGACTATACTACCCAAAGTTATCTACAAATTTAATGCAATCCCCATTAAAATTCCTATGACATTTTTCTCTGACATGGAAAGAACTATACAGTCATTTATCTGGAATAACAAAAGACCACGAATAGCCAAAGCAACGCTGAGCAAAAAAAATAAAGCTGGAGGTATTACTCTACCTGACTTTAAACTATACTACAAAGCTATAATAACCAAAACAGCATGGTATTGGTATAATAACAGAGACTCTGATCAATGGAATAGAATAGAGCACCCTGAAATCAACCCACGCACTTACTGCCATTTGATCTTCGACAAAGGCATTAAGTCTATTCACTGGGGTCGGGACTCCCTCTTCAGCAAAGGGTGCTGGGATAACTGGTTATCCATTTGCAGGAGATTGAAACTAGACCCACATCTCTCACCATTTACTAAAATCAACTCAAAATGGATTAAGGATTTAAATATACACCCTGAAACAATAAAACTTATTAAAGAAAATATAGGAGAAACCCTTCAGCAAATAGGGCTGGGCACAGACTTCATGAATATGACCCCAAAAGCATGGGCAACCAAAGGAAAAATAAACAAATGGGACTATATCAAACTGAAAAGTTTCTGCACAGCAAAAGAAACAATTAACAGAGCTAAAAGACAGCCAACAGAGTGGGAGAAAATATTTGCAAAATACATGTCTGACAAAGGACTAATATCCAGAATATATAAAGAACTCAAACAACTTTACAAGAAAAAAACAAGCAACCCAATTAAAAAATGGGCAAAAGAGCTAAGTAGGCATTTCTCTAAAGAAGATATGCAAATGGCCAACAGTCATATGAAAAAATGCTCAACATCACTCAGCATCCGGGAAATGCAAATCAAAACCACACTGAGATACCATCTCACCCCAGTTAGGATGTCTAAAATCCAAAAGACGCTGAACGATAAATGCTGGTGTGGTTGCGGAGAAAAAGGAACTCTCTTACATTGTTGGTGGGAATGCATAATGGTGCAACCCCTATGGAAAATGGTTTGGAGGTTCCTCAAACAGTTGCAGATTGATCTACCATATGACCCAGCTATTTCACTGCTGGGAATATATCCAAAGGAATGGAAATCATCAAGTCGAAGGTATACTTGTTTCCCAATGTTCATTGCAGCACTCTTCACAATAGCCAAGAGCTGGAATCAGCCCAAATGTCCATCATCGGATGAGTGGATACGGAAAATGTGGTATATCTACACAATGGAATACTACTCAGCTATAAAAACGAATGAAATACTGCCATTTGCAACAACATGGATGGACCTTGAGAGAATTATATTAAGTGAAACGAGTCAGGCAGAGAAAAAGAAATACCACATGTTCTCACTTATTGGTGGGAGCTAAAAATAAATAAATAAATGCACTCACACACACACAAAATAACCGGGGGGGGGGGAGAAGATATAACAACTACAGTCCTTTGAAGTTGTTACAACAAGCAAACGGAAAGGACATTGTTGGGTGGTAGGGGGGAGAGGGAGGAGGGAGGGAGGTTTCAGTGATGGGCCATAATAATCAACCACATTGTATATCGACAAAATAAAAATTTAAAGGGAAGAAAAAAAAATGACTGCTCTCCTTTGTTTAGACTCAGGAAGAGGTTAAACCCATGATTCTTTTTTATTTAAATTGTTCCTATGAAACTGCCTAAGCCTAATTTTTTTCCATGATTGTTGACTCATTTAGGCTTCTAGTCCTTTTGACCCAGTTTAGTTAACTGATATTTAAAAATAATTTCCCATTTGTTCAGTTTGCACAAATGGTCTGTTTGAATTCACTTAGCTTTCTGTGTGATTATTTCCTCATTCTTATTCTTAGTTTTTGTGTTCATATGCTCTCTTTACCCTACCCCACCTGTCACTTTAGGAGCTGAAGGATTGCGGATTTATTTAAAGAACCAGCTCTGGGATATATTTATCAGTCTCCTGAGGTTTTTTTCCTGTCAATATCTAAGATTTTGATATTTGGCATCTTCACTTTCCATTGTTTTCTAGAGTTTCTATGATTGCAGTTTGAAAGACCTCTGATTCATATTTTTCAATGTCCATGAGGTTGAGCTTTTTGTATCTATTTCTAGTTTTGTTTTTCCCTGGTCAGACCATGTGGCCTATGCATTTCCCATCTTTGAGAAATTTATTCGTGGTTCCATTGGAAGACCAATGTACAATTAATTTTTGAGGTGCTTAAAAATGATGTATGTTTTCTGCATATAGCATAAGGAGTTTGTTACCTATCTGATCAGTTAATGCTATTAAAAATAAGACCAAACCTTTACATCGTAATAACAAACATAAAACGTTTAAACTTGTATGTTAAAGATGTGACTTTTAGACTGGTGAAAAACAAGACCCAGCCTTCTGGGATCTAACATGTATGTACCATGAGAATAAAGCCACTCAGTGTTTGATTTGGTACAATGTAATAACAAACATAAAACGTTTAAACTTGTATGTTAAAGATGTGACTTTTAGACTGGGTGAAAAACAAGACCCAGCTTTCTGGGATCTAACATGTATGTACCATGAGAATAAAGCCACTCAGTGTTTGATTTGGTACAATGAAGATATCTGTCATGAAAGAGAAAAAGACTTAATTGTAGTGATAACTCTAACATATCTTTCTCAAAAATTTGCTTTATCTTATTTTATTATTTTATTTTATTTTATTTTGCTTGGAACTTTACTTTGTTTGCCCAGTGGTAACCATAGATTAGTTTTCCTGTTCTTGAACTTGATATAAATGGAATCATACAGTATATATTATTTGGCATCTGGCTTCTTTCATTTATCATTGTGTTTGTGGATTCACTTATGTTGTTGTGTATATAAGTAGTTCATTTTTTTGTTGTTGAGTATTATTTTACTGTGATTATTAATCACAATTTATTTACCCATTCTGGGTTATTTCAGTTTGGAAATATTATGAATAAAACTGATACATACCATCTTTTAGTAGACATATGTGTTCCTTTCTGTTAGAAATATACCTAGGAGTGAAATTGTGAGTCATAAGCTATGCACATGACTTACTTTAGTAGGTAATACCAAATAGTTCTCCAAAGTAGAAGTACCAGTCTACACTCTTACCAGCTCTTATTCTGGTAGCATTCTAGGTGCTCCATATTTTTGCCAATGTTTTGCATCATTAGGGTTTTTTGTTTTTGTTTTTGTTTTTTAATTTTAGCCATTCTATTGCATGCAATAGTTCTTTGGAATAGACAGTATTATCTCCATTGTGCAAATGTAGAAACTAAAGCTATGGAGGTTAACTCACCAAGCAAGGTCACAGAGCCAGGGCACAGTGGAGACATGTGTGTCCAGCGTTAGTGTTACATTCCAGGTCATGGCCATGCCCAAGAACCTTCAGGGAATCATTGTCACTTGGTGCATCAAATCCAAATTCCTTTCAAAAGTCTAAGTCCTTTTTATCTGATTTCATCTTCCAGTTTCTCCTGTATTTACCCTGTGCTAATCACTGTGAAAATAAGCCCAAAGTGCTAAAATATCACATTTAATCCTCACAACAACCTTCTGAAATAGGTCATATTACGATCCTTGTTTTATAGAGCTGGAACCAAAGGTATAAGGGGGTTAAGGAGCTGGCCCAAAGCTATACTATTAGTAAGTGGCAGGGAGGAATTGACTAACTTCGGAAAAAGCTCCCTGAACTCCTCTGTCTCTCTCTCATACTGTCCTGTAAATCTAACATTGTGCTGCATTTGCAGGTGACTGCAGAAACAGCTTCTTTCTGCCTGCCTGCTCCAGCCCAGACCAAGCCCTCATGGGATGCTGGGAATGCAATTTGGATTATCCCATGTGTATCGCCTTTCTTTCTATAGTAGATCTGAGTTCCGCAGTGTGAGACACAGTCCTGGCACTCAGTAGCTACTTGATAAACAGGATGTTCTAACTCAAGCACTCTAAGCCAAGACTGAACAGCAGGCTGGTGGGGGAAGGAGGAAGCCATGGATGGGAGGGGCTGGGCTGGAAAACTGGCCTCACAAAGGAAGAGCCTGATGTCCGTCTATAGTGTCTGTAGGAGTAGGCTGAGCATCACTCAATCTGTGTGTGGTGTGGCTATGCAGGGCATGAGCCCAAGGCTAAGACTGACCAATTTTCAATTCCAGGTTATCCATTCAGGACAGCAGGACCTTAGGTTGCTGCTGGGTACATTGGGGCTAGTGTCAGTCTCTGGACAGTGGCTGGACAAAGCTGGTCAAGGGAGTTGGGCTCCAGAGGGTGCTAGAGTGCAGACAGGATTCAGGGTAGAGGCTCAGCCATGTGGCCAAGACCAGGTGGGACAGAAGTTATGGTGTGGAGCAGACTGGTGCCCAGGCCTCCTCCAGGTGCTGGGGACCAGCTCAGTGAAGCATGATCTATTCCAAACCCCCAGCTGTCAGGGAGGGGGCTCTTCAAGCCCTGCTGACCTCAGACAAGGTGTGTCCAGTTATTGGCCAGGGCAGAGTCTGTATCTGGGAACAGCCCCACTTGGCTAGGGAAGGCGGGGTTAGCTCTGATGGGCAAGTTTCTTGAGTGCAGGGAGCCATGTCTAATCACATAGAGGTGTATGGGGAAGACAGCCAGACCGTATAGCCAGATTTCCTGGGTTCAATTCCTAGCTCTGACTCTTAAATGCTGGGCAAGCTGCTGAACCTCTTTGGGCCTCTGTTTTCCAATCTGTAAAATAGGGGTAAATATAGAACCTACCTCAGACGGTTGCTGTGAGGTGAGATGAGGAATATGTGTGATGCCCTTAGAACGATGTCTGCATGTGTTAAACCCTTCCCAGTTGGTGGTCAATACCTGGTGCTGACCTGCAGCCTTAGGTGTCTTGCAATGATGTGTCTTGTTGAAAGTCTCAGAAAGGAGATCTTCTCCCTGGAGTTCAGTTCCTGTGGTTTAGTCATGCTGCCAGGCACCTCCTCTCATGAATGTGCTCTCAGCCCTGGGCAGGCTCTGAGGACAGCGCCTGGGAACAGACATTCCCGGCCAGCGTGCTGCAGTTCCTGGGCCTCGTGCACCGCACCTACCCCCAGGACCCGGCGTGGTGGGCCCCGGAGTTCCTCCAGACCTTGGCCACTGTGACCTTCCCCCTGGGAACTCAAAAGGTAGGACGTGATGCTCACTGCCCTGCCCCAGGGAGAGCAGGTGTCAGCTGCATCGTTCTTCAAGGGTGAAGGACCAGCCTCCTCCCCACCCCCAACATTAAAATACATTTCAAGGCAACTTGGATAATTTCCCTTTTCTTGGTTGAACTGCAGTTCAAGGACATTTTCAGCTCTGAGATTCAATTATTTTTTTGAGTTGTTAGGAATTTCTGTGATGAGAAATTTGATGGCAGATCAAGCCCAATTCTGTATGGAATACCCATGCACTGATAAACCCCGTTCCAAGAAGCCTGTTGCCTGTGCACCAGAGGGGGAGAGGTAGTCCCAGGAGAGTGACCTACTTGGCCTTTTGTCCTCAGGTTGTCCTGTTTGTGGGACCCTTGGGCCCAGGTCTTCTTGGGCCCCTCATGACCCGGGTCTTCTTCCAGGCAGTGGGTTTGCAGAGGCCCAGATGAGCCCAGGGTGGGGAGCACAGAAGGATCGACTTGGACCTTGAGGACAAGGTCTTGGGTACTGCATGCCAGGGTTAGAGAAGTGGCTCTGGGAAGACTTGTGAGTTTAAGGCCAAGAGCCAGTCCCAGCAGGGCAAGGGGTGGCCCAGTCAGAGGGACTCAGAGCATTCAGGAGCTGAGAGGACATCAGGAGTTGAGGACTGGTGTGGAAGGCCGGGTATAGAAAGAAGAAGGTCAGAAATCCACATGTCCCCCAGAATTGGTGGATCAGGAAGCAGAGACCCAGAGAGAGAGAAGGAGCTGAAGATGGCTGGTCACATGCATAACTATAGGTACAGGAATGTGTTAGATGTGTTATAATCTGTGCCAAACACAGTGCCAGGCATGGAGTGGTTGTTCCATAACCGTGTGTTAAATATCCAAATGACTGAATGAGCATGCTGTCTTAGCTAACCTTTTCCAGGAGTGTATTCCAAGGTGTTAGCCTTCATCACCTGAGCCCTGGCAACACATCAGTCCTGAGCCCAGTGCTTTGCATGATCCCAACAGCCACCCAATGAAGGCAGTGTCAGTAAGAGGAAACTGAGATTCGGAGACACCAAGTGGTGCTCAGCAGTTTCTTCCTGGCTTGGTGGGGGGTTAGAAGACCCTGCTCACAGAAGGGTCAAGAGAACGAAGCATGCCCTACTTGATGTCATTAACAAATGACAACCTCACCTTCTCACTCCAAGGCCTGCATCCTTCCCCTTACATTTGGTTCAAAATGAAATAAAATGGCCAAATAAAATTTGAGTAGTAAGAGTTAGTAAAAAGACGAAATAGAAAGACTAGAAGATTTGCAAAAAGACAATATGGTTTTAAAATGGTTTGACGGATTGATAGCAACTAAAATGGCTTACTAGAAAAGGAAGAGTTAACAAAATGTAATAAAGAGCGAAGGACAGCTCCACTGTCTGCAGTGGAGGGGGGTGGGGCCTGCACAGGGAGGCCCGGCCGCTGGGCCAGGCAGGCCTGAGCAGGGACCTCTGTCGGGGCCAGGGCCCTGGAGTCCACAGCCCGACGTTCTCAACCCAGATGCCCACCTCAGCCCTTGTGCCCGAGGGCAAGACCTGCCCTCTGCTGAGTCAGTGTTCTAGCCGAGTGCCCCCTGCCAGCAGCCATGGTGCACACTCTGACCCAGGGCTCTTCCTCCCCGCAGTCAACAGTTCCTGCCCAGGGGAAGGCCAGGCCCAAAGTCACCTCCCCGTCTTGGGGCTCCTGGCTCCAGTTCTGAGGCTCTCCTCACCATCTCCTTGCCCCATTTCAGCTCCGAGTCAGCTCCGCAAGGCCTTTGTTGCACAGAAAATGTGACAGACCCTCCTCAGGCAGAAGGCTGTTGGCCAAAAGCCTTCGATTTGCTGTGAATTTATATGGCATCTTTCCAGTCAAGGCCGCAAGGAGCTAATTAATGCAGTCGCCACCTCCCTAGGTGCCAGTGAATTCGTTTTATGGCTTAATTAAGAACGGCTGCATTAATTTTATGAATGAGCAAAGGGAGGTGCCAACAGATGAGTGCCCAGGAGAAGCTCATGGGCGGGAGTCAGCAGTCCCCAGCCGCGCGTCCTTGGGCGCCGCCTGCCCTCCCAGCGTCTCCATGTCCTCCCAGATGTATCTGGGGTGATGGCTCCTGTCTCATTTATCTCCTAACATTTTAATAAATATAAAAGGAGAAAGTGAATGCCAAAGCACTTCAGGGATTTGAGGAGAGGACTCTCTGTGTCCCGTCTTCCTTACCTGAGGGTCCCATCTGCCAACATCGGTGGAGCCTGGGCAGGAAGTGGAGGTGAGGTCTCCATGACAAGGTGGGAGCCAACTCTCTCTGGCCACATGCCCGGTGCCAGGCGTTGCCACATCCATTATTCTCTTGTCTCATTCTTGCTCATCCTTTGTGACAGTGTTTTTATTATCACTATTTAACCGGCAGGGGGCGTCTTCCTTACCTGAGGGTCCCATCTGCCAACATCGGTGGAGCCTGGGCAGGAAGTGGAGGTGAGGTCTCCATGACAAGATGGGAGCCAACTCTCTCTGGCCACATGCCCGGTGCCAGGCGTTGCCACATCCATTATTCTCTCGTCTCATTCTTGCTCATCCTTTGTGACAGTGTTTTTATTATCACTATTTAACCGGCAGGGGGCTGTGACTTGGAGGAGTAAGGGACTTGCCCCAACGCATTTGGGGCTCCATTGCTGAGCACTGCAGGCCTCTGACTCCGTGCTCAGCTTCTGTGCACAACCCTGGCCTAGCTCAGGTCCTCAGACCCACAGTGGGCCACGTTATAAGCAACTGAATCCTGGGCAAGTTGCCTATCTCTGTGGAGCTCCAGTTTCCTTACATGTTAATGGTACCAGGATAATCTGCCTGTGTACATGCCAGAAGTGAATGGGAAAGGGCTTGAGCCAGGCAGGCCACACATGTTGAGGTTCTCTTGTCTTTGAGGGGGCTGTGGCTGAACCTGCCCAGAGTGCCAGCAGTCCTGGGGCCGTGGCTGAAGACGACAACACTGGTGAGGGTCTGCATGCTCCTGCCAAGTCACATCCTGCCCGGAGGCAGCTGAGGGAATTCACACAGCTCCTCTTCAGGGAGCTCCTGCTTGGGCCCCCCAGCCCCAAGCAGTGGCAGCCCCTGGAGGTGCTCTTGGAGGTGGGTTGAAAAGGGTGCTGTTGGGCCATGTGCTGTGGAGCCTGGGAGGGGACAGGCACCATGAGGGCCGGGTATGCCCAGGGAGGCCAAGGGCTGGACCTCTAGGGTTAGCTCGCCCAGGCCTGAAGATGCTAGCTGGCTGGTGGGGAGAGTGTCTCCTGGGACCGCATTTTGTGGAAGTGATTTATTGGCGGGGTTGGGGGGATGCTCTCAGGAGAAGGAGGGAGGGAGCAGAGGAAGACGGGGGAAACGCTAGCCCAGAGGTGGTCTCAGCTGGTGTCTGGTCCCAAGAGGCTGGTGTGCTGTCTGCCTCGCAGAGGTGGCCTCACCATGAGGCACCTGATAGGTGGCCATGGGCTGTAGGCTCCCCCCACTTGCCTCCTTACTCTGGGGAATGGGCGTCGCCTCCCAGGTGAGGCAGCTCTGTCAGCAGAGGGCAGTGTCCCAGAGAAGGGGCAGCTGTGAACTGGCAGCAGTCCAAAGGCGTGGCAGCTGCGGGAACAGGGCATCAGCCAGGCGAGGTGAGTGGTGTACACTGAGGAGACATTCCCTGGCTGTGCTTCCAGGCTTATCCAGACAACGCCACCAGCCAAGAGAAGCGAGACTTCCAGTCTGAGATCCTGCTTTCTGCCATGGAAATATTCCACTTGATGAGTGGGGGCAACGTGCCGGTACTCGGAGGTGAGTGGGGTGACCAGGTCTTCCCTGTTCCTGACATGAGGCAGCTGACAGCTGAGTAGGAAAGCCAGCGTGCCCTCCAGCTGCCCACCCAGCCATGGGATGCCGCCCTGCACCTGGGCGTCGTCCCTCCACGCATCTGCAACGGGAGCTCATTGTCCCTGCCCAGTGCTCAGTGAGGGGACACTTGCTACTTCCCATGACACCTCTGTCATCACTGGCAGTGGGAGACAGAAAGTTCTTTTGTCCTCTGAACTTAAATCTGCTCTCCTGTAGCTTCAGTAGCAATGTGACCTCTTTCCACGAGGGAAGTCAAGATAACTGAATCTAGCGTCCCTCTGCTAGGCATGTCCCTCCTGGCACCTACACTTGGGCACAGGACAGGTGTGCAGCAGATGTTCTTATGTGAACCTGGTTGAAGATGCTGCCCTTACCCTCTTGGATTTAAGATTGAGGCTTCATTTGAAGGACTTAGTTCCAGCTCAGCTATAACTTCCCAGCAAGATTAACCAAAAGTCCTTTCTGTGGTTTCTGAGCCACAGGAATTCCTAGGGACGTGACTCATCTTCTGGACACTCCCTTGCCCCACAGCTCAAAAACCCTGATGCTTGTGGAGTACCTGCCATGAGGGAGAGTAGCAGAGTGGTGAGGAGTGTGGGCGCGGCACTCTCATTTCTGGTCTTGGCTGTGTCACTGGGCGACTGTGTGACTCGGGGCAGGAGTCTGTGAGCAAGGACGACAATCACGGCTAACTCACAGGAGTGGGGCCAGCTGGGATCATCGCACACAGGCCTGAGCACGGCGCCTGATGTGTGTGCCATGCGGTCGGCATCACAGCTTTGTCCTCTGCCCTACACAGCAGCAGCGCCTCGGGTCACCGTGACGCCCTCTTATTTGCCGCAAGCATTAAACTCTCCCCCATCCTCATTCCAAAAAGCTGCTGGAAGAAACGTTCCCGCTTGCTTGCTTTCTCACTGCTTGCTTTATATCACTGACCAGATTACTCAAGATCAGTTTATTTGGAATCAATGTGTGTTCATTGGGCCACCTGCTACATACAAGATACCGTCTTTGGAGCAGTGGGGTACAGTGGCGAATAAGTCGTGGCTGGTCACCACGAGGGCCTTGGGGACCACTGCAGAGAGAAGTCCATGCAGACTCTCCACTCGCTCTTTCTCCTCACCCCACCCCAGGTAGTAAAGAGCCTCCACCAAACGCAGAAGCTGCTGCTCCTTTGCTCGCGAACATCTCCTACTTCACCCAGAAGCTGGTGGAGAAGCTGTACAGTGGGGTGTTCTCGGCAGACCCCAGGCACATCCTCCTCTTCATCACAGAGCACATCATGGTGGTAAGAGCCACGGCCAGCTGGGGTGGTGACTGACTGCTGCTGACTGATGGGCATCGGTATCAGGCTCCCAGCCATTGTCCAGCTCGTCCTTCCCTGGGACAGAGTCTGAGGTGGGGAAAAGGAGGAGGCCCTTTATGGCCCAGGCGACACTTGGTGGCCGTGGAGTTCTCTGAGGGGCCCTTGCCGCAGGCTACCTGAGACCCATCTCAGGCAAGGGGAGCCTCTGCTCCCTGCGCTTGTCCCTGAGCCCTGTATCCACGTCCTCCCCTTTGAGTTTTTATTGTGACTGTCATTATTGCCATGCCTCTTCAACAGAGAAAGTGCTGAAAATCTCTTTGTCTCTGAAAGGCCTATGTCATCTTGTTCCTTAGTATCTGCCCCACGTGTCATATTTGTGCCTTCCTGAAATGAAGGCAGGGGTGTATTTTTAGCTGGTCATTTTTCTTGCCCATGCTCTCTCTCTCCAGATAAATAGATCAACATCCATATACATGTTCCTTAGTATCTGCCCCACGTGTCATATTTGTGCCTTCCTGAAATGAAGGCAGGGGTGTATTTTTACCTGGTCATTTTTCTTGCCCATGCTCTCTCTCTCCAGATAAATAGATCAACATCCATATACATTCATGCAAACACATGCCTATAGGTCCGCTTTCACATGTAGGGGCGTGTGTGTATGTACATGTGTACACACGGAAGATTATACAGTCTCAAAATTCTAGAGTTGAAAGGGGCCCTTTTAAGATCATCAGTCCCCGTTACATGCTGAGACCTTTCCTGCCAAGCCTTGCGTGCCGTGTGCCTGACCCCTCCGTGTGATAAGGAGCTCACTCCGGCACAAGCAGTCCCACTTGAAGGTGTGTGATAGTTGGCGAGCACTTTCTCTTAACATGCTGGAATCTGCCTCCAGCAGCTCCTACCAGCAGCCCTGGCCGTGCCCTCCGCAGCAGAACCCAAGAGAACCATTCTCTTTTCTCTTCACACCTCATAGTGGGTATGAAATTGGCTCCCCCAACACCCTTCTGTCTTCAGAGTCACCCGCAGGCCCCAACCCTGGGCCGTGGCACAGTTCCTGGGGTGATCATCAGTCTGGGTGACACCGAGGTCCGGGCCAGCCGGAATGAATGTATTCAGAGGCTTCTTCAGAACTAAGTCTGAGGAGGGAGAAACATCCCTTGTCAGCTCTGAGAGGACTGGGATCAGATTCCTGGGAGGTTGCGTTGAGAATGAAAAGCCGCTGAGCTCCCCGTGGTCAGAGCAGATACTCGGAGCTAATACCACCGAGCGTGTGCCTCCGGGGCTGTGTGCCTTTAGGGGAGCCAGGCCCGAGGGCTGCTGGCTGTCCACACATCCTTCTCCTTCTCTCCTGTTCGCTGTCTGTGGCTCCCACAAGTCTTAACCTCAGTTCGAGAGGGGCGACCCATCTGCGAGCTTCAGAGGATGATGATGGGTTTCAGTAAAACTTAACTTCATTAGTAGAAACACTTTGCATTTCCCGTGGAATTCTAAGGGAGCAATCTGTAACTAACAAATGACCTTCCTAAGGGCCTGCAAAACTTTGCACAAAGATTTTGTTCTATGGATTCTTTGCACTGAAACCAAACAGATAGTAATCAGTACAGAGCAGGACCTTCTGCCTACCTCTCTAGGTTTCTCATGAACTAAAATCCCACCAGACTCTGTCTCCTTCAGATGACATGGTCGAACTCTGAGAAGCACTGGTGACTCCTCCTAGTCCAGAGGGGGCGCTTGTCTCCATTTTCAGTATATGGTTAAATTTTGGAAGTGTCTTTTTTTCTTCTTCAAGAATTAGTCTCTGTCCACACTGAAAGCATACAAGGAAGAGCAGAATGACAATTGATTTGTGTCCTTGAAATGACACCCCCTCACATACCTCTTTTTAGCGAGTGGCCTCCCAAATCCAAAGGTGACTTTATTCTGGAAATTTCAAGAATAGACATTCTCGTGTATTGGTACTCTTTCCTTTCTGTGTTTGCCATTCTCGGTTCAATCCGTAAATGCTACCGAGTGTCTATTCTGCTTGTGAGGCTGAGGGGGCACATGGACATTACCATGCCTGGGACCCCCGAGGCATGCAATTCACAGGGAACCTCATATATAAACCGTTGTGCCTCCACTGGCTACATTATGTGTGGGGCCCACAGCAAAATCAAAATATGGGGCCCATGTACAAAAGTTACCAAGAATTTCAGATGATGACAACAGAGCCCAAACGTAGGCCCTTCTGAGTGTAGGGCCCTGTGCAACTGCATGGATCACATGCCTGTGATGCCAGCTGGGATCCATTCAAGGTGGGAGAAAATCGGTGCCAAACAAAGGCTGAGCTCAATGCTTTGGGTGTGCACAAAAATAAATGACCAGTTCTGATGGCAGAGACCCAGGGCTCAGGGGCCCTGCTGGGAGCACAGGATTTTGCAAGGTAGGACTTCCCGTAAAGAGAAGGTGTTTTTCCTGCTATGCAGAATGCCCCTGTATAATATTGGCCATGGGAGTTGTTATAAAGTGTTTGCTTCAACTTGATTAAACAAACTTCCATATTGACGTGTACTGAGTTGGAGGACGATTATTGGTAATAAAGAACAGTGGAATGGTTGCAAAGAAACTGAGATTATAGTGAAACATCTCTTGTCTACTAGTTATCCAGAAGGATTTGGATTGGAACCCAAGCCTAAAATGACTCCTTATCATCAAGTCTTCCTTTCCCCAAATGAAGAAGTGAAAGAAAAAAGAGGGGAAGATTTCCTGAGTTTGAGTGATGGTACATTTTACTTGTCATTTATTTTTTTTGGGGGGGAGGATAATGGTAGATGGATAGTGGTATTTGCTAGAGTTGCATTTCTCTGTTTATTTTGCCCAAGATAAGAAACTGAATACTATTAAGGAATTTTTCAAAGGCCAGAAAAAGACCTAGGAAATCCCATAGTAATTTAGTAATATAGCAAAGTAACCTGGTAGAAAGAACACTGGAATGATCCTTGTGTGTTAGAAATGGAATGGAAAGGAATGGGTGGACTGATGGATGGAGGAAGAGAAAGTCTTGTGGGACTTGGTTAGACTAGGAGCTGGGTATATATACTGAAATCCCCGAGCACCTTACTTAAGTTAAGACTGGCATGCATCTCACCTAACTTTGTTCTCTAGCAAATGGGCAGGGAGTAAATAAACGCATTACTTTCTATATGACTTTCAACTTAATAGAGTTTATTCTTGGATTTACTAATCTCATATCAAGTTAAAGGAACTGGCAATTGTTAAATATTTCTGTAGAAGCGAGTTCCATGTGTATAAGAGTTGCAGTCCCTCTTGATCTAGGAGTGAAAGCTTCAGTAGACCTTCTTCTGCCACTTACTTTATGATATCTTGTGATACAGGACTATAGGCACAAGGGCCTCTGGATTCTGGTCAGATAGGTGCCCAAAGCCAGTGCTCAAAAACCTTGTGACTTTAAAGTTTATGCCTTATGATATCTTGTGATACAGGACTATAGGCACAAGGGCCTCTGTATTCTGGTCAGATAGGTGCCCAAAGCCAGTGCTCAAAAACCTTGTGACTTTAAAGTTTATGCTGACACAATGTTGATTACAGCGTAAATGTGCAAACTTTGGAACTTGGCTAGTAGAGCTGGACTGGGCAATGTCCGGCCCACTAGGGTGAAAAAATAGACTCCAGAGGCTGGGACTAGAGGGGGGACCCAGTGGTCCAAGATCAGAGGAAATGTAGGCATGGTTTAAGGGACTATAGATGTGGGGTACAGCAGGCAGAGTTGGCTTCGTAGATCTGTCTATATCCAAGCAAATCCAGGGCACTGAGATGGGTGGATGTGAGAAGCATGATCCAGTGCTAGGAAAGGAGACTGGCTTGGGTCCTGAGCCACAGAGCACAGTCTTGAGCTTGGTGTCTATTCCCTCAAGAGACCAACATGTAAGGGAAGATTGAAAAGAACTGTTTGGGGAGAGTTATTTGGCTACCTAGAGCTCACACAAGGCACCTCTGGTATCCAACAGAACAGGGTGTGGGGGAAGGAGCCTCCTTGAGCCCACCACTCACATTTCCCAGACCTGGACATATGAGGCAGGCAGGACTTGGTGGCAAGCAGTGAGAATGAGGAAAGGCCAGCTTGCACAGATGTTGGGGGCATTATGGTCAGTCCAGTGGCTCTACATACTGAGTGCTTCTGGCTGGAGATTGCAAAGCTGGAGTGATGTTGGAGACGTTAAGTGAGAAGGATACGGGTAACAACACTCTTGAGATGCCATTCCTAGCCCTCTCTGGGAGAAGCCATGAGGTCATCCTGATTGTGCCATGTGCTTTCTCTTCCAGTCCAGCACAACATCCAGAAGACGGTACGGACTCTCTGGCAGCAGCTCGTGGCACAGAGGCGGCAGGCACTGGAAGATGCCTTCAAGATCGATCTCTCTGTGAAACCTGGAGAGAGTGAAGTGAAGATTGAAGAGGTCACCCCCCTCTGGGAAGAGACGATGCTCAAGGCCTGGCAGCACTACTTAGGTATCTGTTCACTTGGCTCCAGGAAATGGAAGCTTCTGGGTCTCATAGAGCCTCAGGGACCTAGATCCTTTTCCACCCAGACCCTCTGTCTCATCCCTTTGGTGCTGGGATTTACATCACTGAAGCCTCCTGTACCTTTCCTCATGAGGAATGAGCATTGCACTACATCTTGGGTTAAAGGAAAGCCAGAAGTGCCAACCAAGCACGCAGATTCCAGTACTCTCTGAGAGGGAGGGGACACTGTGTTAGGGTTCTGGCCTGGTCTTGGGAGCTTGGGATTCTGGGTCCCATGCTGATATTTACCTACCAGCTTTGAAACCTTGAACCGAGTCATACAGTGACCTTGAGCCTCATGTTTCTTATGTCCTGTCACTTTATGATGTGAAAGTCTTCATCCCATAAATATTAATGTCCCCTGCATCCTATCAGTGACTCAACATTTTCACTCTCATATCAGTCGATACAGCTATAGGAATGAGGTTTTAGTTTTGTTTCTAAGGAGGTCATTGCTATTAAATTATGGCTTATATCTTTGTTTCAAGTCTTTTAGCATCACAAAATTCACAGTGATTCAGGAGTTAGCTACATCCATGTATATTGTCCCAGTCTGTCCATTGCTACAGAAACTTGATTGAACTGGCTTTCCAAATTAGTCCTGACAAGTATGTTTGTGTATCTTCATCCATTTGGGCTGCTGGAACAAAATAGCACAGACTAGGTAATTTACAAATAATAGAAATTTATTTGCTCACAGTTCTGGAGGCTGGGAAGTCTAAGATCAAGAAGCCAGCAGATTCCATGTCTGGTGAGGCTTCTGTCTGCTTCCAAGGTGGTACCTTGTTGCTGCACCATCTGGAGGGATGAACACTGCTGCATCCTCACATGGCAACAGGGACAAAAGCGCAAAAAGGGCCTGATCCAGTTCCCTTCAGCCTTTTATAATCCATTCCCGAGTGCCTGCCTCTTAATGCCTCTTCATACCAGCATAATGGGGATTAACTTTCAACATGGATTTTGGAACAAACGCACTTTCAGAACGTAGCAATACCTACATACATACCTGAACAACTTCAAGTGAAAACGTCAGATTCCATTTCAGGGAAAAGTGCAATAAAATAGAATGAGTCCACCATATGCATAAGTGGAATAAAATTGTAAGAAGGACCCTAAAGCTTTTGGACAACTAGCACGTACTGAACACTTTCCACGTTCCAGGTCCTTTGAACACATAATCCTATTTAATCTTCATGACACCCTGATAAGTTTATGTTTAGAAACTATTGTCCCCATCTCACAGAATAAGAGAACTAAGGCTCAGCAACTTTAACTTGTCCAGTGTCTCACTATGAGGCAACAAGTCATGGGGCTAGGAGTCTGAGCCAGGTCTGGTGACCTCAAAGTCCTTACTATGTTTCTCAGCTGAGGGAGCACCAGAAGAAGGTGTGATAAGTTTGCAGGTAGGTCGTCTCCCTTGCTGGAGGCAGGCACCCCTGGCTGGTGCTGTTGGCCAGCCCTCTGAAAGCCAAGCCAGCGGTAGAGAGGGTGCACGCTCTCACTTCATCTCTGACATTCTCTGCTTCTCTGCCCCCAGCATCTGAGAAGAAATTGCTCGCCAGTCGCTCGAATGTCACACATCACAGCAAGGTCACATCATGGAGTGGAAGCCTGTCCTCAGCCATAAGGCTGATGCCTGGGCGGCAGGCCAAGGACCCTGAATGCAAGACAGAGGTGAGTCCAACACTTTTCCTTAGAGGAGCATCGGGTATTTGCTCCAAACCCCATGAGTTGTGTCTCCATCCTGCTAGACAGGATCTAATTCCATGTTCTTCATCTAAGACTTTAAGGATAAGCATGTGACTTCCCAGGTGAGGCTACTTGTAGAGGAGCCAGGTCTTAGGCTGGCTTTAGCTTGAAGTGAATATGGGCTCCACTTTAGTGCCAGGAGGAGAGTATTCAGAGGGCATGGGCTCACTGATCAGTAGAATCTGGGTGTGTGAGCCCAGTAAAGGGGGACGAAGACGATGGTTCTCTGTCCAGGGGACTCAGTGGTGAGCCCTCTTGATTGTGTGGGGCAGAGCCGTTGGGGTTTTCTAACCCATTTCTCAAAAGCTGCATAATAAATTATCCTAAAACTCAGTAGCACCAACAGTGATTTTTTGTGACCATGGGTGCTGTTGTAAGGAATTTGGAGCACAGCAGGGGGGTGGCGTATCTCTGCTCCACAATGTCTGGGGCTTCAGCTGGGATTTTCTAAGGCTCACAGGTCAGGTGGTTGCTGCTGGCTTTAGTCTATGAGCTTAGCTGGGACTGTTGGCTGGGATACCTACACACAGCCTCCCATGTGAACTGGGCTGCCTTGCAACATTGTGGCAGGGTGTCAAGGGCTAATGTCAGGAGAGACAGAGAGAGTGAGTGAGCCAGGCAGAGCCACATTGTCTTTTATGACCTAGATTCAGAAGCCGTACAGTGCTACCTCTCTGTCAAGACAGGCACAAAGTTCTGCTCAGGTTCAAGGTGAGGGAAATAGACTCTGCCTCCTGATGGGAGAGTGGTAAGGTTCTGGAAGAATGTGTGGGACTAGAAATGTTGCTGGGGCTCTTTTCGGAAAACACAATCTGTCATATATTCTAATGCTGGTGTCACTGACGTCTTCAGAGGCTGACTGTGGTTGTTGCTGGACATGGCCTTAGGGTCAGGAGACGTGGGCAATTTACCTAAATTCCTTGAGTCTCTACCTCCTTATCTCCACAGTGGGACAAAGAACTGTTGGAAACTGGGAAGGAGCTTCCCAGGGAGGTGGAGTAGACAAGAGACAGGTGTATTACATAATTCCAGCTCTCAGCCCAAGCAACTTTGGAAAATGAGGTGGACCCCATTTCCACCTGCTCATAATCTGCTGTCCACTGTGGGCAGTGACTGATGGGGAGGCACAGTCACCAGATGTGGGGGGAAGATGGGGCTGCCTGCACCTGCCTAGACAGCCGGGGGAAGGAGACTTTCTTCTTCCCAAGCTTCAGGAATCACAGAATTCAGGGTGTATGAAGAAAGAGCCCAGATATAGAAGGTAAGACCAGAAATGCGCTTCACTGGGTTGGCTATCACCTAGAGTTGACAACTGAGGTCAAAGCTCCTGGATTATTTGGCTGTATCCTCAGTGCACTGGCTTGTTGAAGATGCTGCTTAATAAGTTTGTTGACAGACTCATTAATTGGATGAATCGGTGAATAATTCTCTCAGATTTTATAACAGCGGCATCAGGTATTATTAGCCCTGTTATATAGAAGTGGAAACTGAATCTAAAGAAAAATATAAGGACTTTGCAGCCATTAAGTGGCAGAGTGATAGGATCCCATTTCTGTGTTGCTGAGAGGAACCTTAGGCAATTCATGCAACCTTGCAGAGTCTCCATTCCTGGCCTTACGACTGGAAATTTGCTCTGTTTACACCAGGACACATGGAAGCACTTGGAAACTGCATGTCTTAAAAACATAAGACTGTTTACTAAATTTCATTATAGCTTACCTTACAAGGTGTATAAGGTTTACCATTACACCTTCTAGCACTTTCTGCTAAAGAGAAGACTGTCCCACAGGTGGTATCGTGTCCCAAGCCCTGGAATCTGGAGCACCCTCACTTTGTGCAGGTGCCTGCTCCTGACCAATGCCATTTGTGGCAGGAGTCCCAGTTTTTCTTCCTTGGCTTCACCCTGGAGCTTTTACTCCTTGACCAAATTAGCATTGTCCCCAGGAGGTCACAACAGCCTGGCTGGGGAGCTTGGGAAGGGGTGGCCAGGGTACTGGGCTTGTTCATTCATTTTATGGAAACCCTTGCAGCCTGTCAATACTTCCTCTTGTCAGACCCCTACTCCCCCCAGGGAATTTTCATTGGCATAGCTCAGCTGCCTCTGAGTGCTGGGGATAGGAGTTGAGCAACAGCTCGTGTGCACGAAGCTTGAGTGGATGGTGCTGTTTGGGGCCGTGGAGGTGTACCAAGTGGTTTCAAACAGTTTGCCCTTGGCTCGCGTTGAGAGGTCTGAAAGGAAGAATACCCAAAATGGGCTCTGTCTTTGGTGAAGGCAGGCTGCTAAAGATGTTTTCTTCTAGATTAGTTGTGCTGTTATTCATTCATTCATTCATTCACATTCACTCAACAAATATTTGTTGAGTGCTTACTCTGTATCCTGCTCTAAGCACTGAGGTTACAGCAGAGAACCTAACCGACATATTCTCTGCTTTCATGAAGCTGCATTGTAGGGGGCAAACTCAGATGATAAACAGATAAATAAATTTGTAAATGTTGGGGGTGCTGATTGCAATGAGGAAAAATCGAGCAGGGTGGGGAGGAGACGGTGGTGAGGAAGGGGCCGGGCTGTTTAGATGGAGGAGGTAAGAGAAGCATCTCTGGCAAGGGGACATTGAAGCAAAGGCGAGAATTTAGGAAGAACAGGAGCCTTGTGATGCTCCAGGAAAGAGTGGTCAGGCAGAGAGGACCACCAGGCAAAGGTGCTGAGGGGGGCGCATGCTGGGGTGTTCCAGGGCAGCAGAAGCCCATGTGGCTGGACCGAGGTGGAGCCTGGAGCCACCCCGGCTTCTGGACAGCCATGGGGGACATCTCCGTCAGCTTTTTGCACCAGGAAGAACTGTACTTAAAACAACCAAGAGCAGCAGAGATTTTGCAACTGATCATGTTTTTCTCTCTGATCTTGCACGTGGAAACTCAGAGAGATATGGTGTATTAGTCCATTTCTGTTGCTTCTAACAAAACACTTGAAACTGGGTGATTTTGAAAGAAAACAAAAATTTATTGCCTACAGTTTCAGAGGCTAGGAAGTCCAAAGTCCAGGGAACACATCTGGTGAAGGCTTTCCTTTGTGGTGACTTCAGTGACTGCAGAGTATCACATTGCAAAAATGGTGGAACAGAGAGAGAAAGAGAGAGAGGGGCCAACCTTCTCATTCATTCTCCTTTTAAAGTCCTCCAAACCATGTCATGCCCACCATTTAATCCATTCACTACAGCAAGGTCCTACAATCTAATCAATCACCTCTTCAAGTCCCTACCTTTCCATTACCGTAGTAGGATTTCCCACCCTCAACAGTTAGAGTGGGGATTAAGTTTGCGGAGGACATTCAACCCAAGGCATATGGTAAGCGTGGTCCAGCTTTTGTAACTGCACACACCTAGTGGGATAAATTTCTGTAAAACAAACACACTCACAACCACACAAACACACACACACGTGCACGTGCGTCTCTCTTTCCCTGGCTTCTTCCTCCCCTTTAACCTCACTTTACCTTCAATCTGATTTATTTATCCTTTCTTTTAGCTTAAAATATCTTGCAGATTTTTAAAGATAAAATATTTTTGGAACAGATGGGACTGTTTTAATTTAAAAAATGAAGTTCATCTTGCTGAGCCGTGTCCTATAGCAATAAGTCAGTGTGGGCTGGGCGCAGTGCCTGCTGCATAGGCTCTCAAAGAATGCACCTGGGAGTGCACAGGACAGGGGAGTAGAAAGCTCCCCCTCCTCTTGCTGAGATAAAGCTCACCAGCCTTGAGACCCCGCATCCATCACCCATCTCCAAGAGATGCCTTTGTCCCTAACAGAAGGCACAACTTCTCAGGTACATATGTACACTGTGATGTCATAGGATAAGAGCATCAACTATTTGCCCTGGGGTCTGTTTAATTATTTTTAAAAATTAATTTTGATTATTACAGCTGATTACACCTCAGTGAGCAATGTAATTGATATTTTCTAATGTATCCCAAGGAACATTTTGTACAACACGCTTTTTGTTGTTGAAGGTTAAAGACTCCTTTATTGGTTTTTCCCTAAATATGCCCACATCATTAGTCCCTCCAGTGAGAAGGTCGCCATCTGGAAAAAGCAGCATGGAGACATTATTCAGGCACAAGTGCATGAAATTGGTGTTTCTGCATTTTCTGTCTCTTCTGGAAAGAAGAGGCTTGTAATTAAAGGAGTTGGTGTTGGAGGAAACATTATTCATTTGGTGTTATTCCTTATCATGTCAGCGGCTGACAGCTCTATAGCACTGATAAATTGTTCCTTGGGGTGAGACATATGATGTAGGACTCAAAATTCCTCTTATCTATGTTCATTTTCAGTAGAAAAGGTTTTCTCCTTGGCAGGTGAGCTGAACTTTGAGGCAAGGCTGATTTGATAGATGTTATTTCTTCTCCCCCCGACAACATCACAATCCCTTCTGTGAGCAATCGTGAAGTCACCATCCCTAGCATGGGGAAGGCCAGTTGTACAAGGGTTGGAAATTTGGGCTCCTTTGAGGCCACCAAAGGCCAGCTCAAGGTGTTCTGGAAGCCTTTTCATCATGTGCCCTGTGTGTTTGGAGGAATCCAGAGTGCAGACTCTGGCCAGCTGTTCCTCTTCACAGCAGTGAACTTGGCTTTGCTTGCCTGCTCAATTTCAGACTTTCTTGTTTAAAAACAAGTTGAAAAGACATCACCAACCAATGTTGGTTTCTTAGTTTTGACAGAAGCTCCAAGGCAATGTACAACATTAAATTGACATTACGGAAAACCAGGTGAGAGGTAGACGGGAACTCTCCACTATCTTTATAACTTTTCTGCGAATCTACAATCATTGCAAAATATAAAGGGTGTTATCATCTGTTTTTGTTTTTGTTTTTTAAGGAAAGCATTGACAAAGAGAAGAAGGGCACAGGGGAGCTGGGGGCCTGGTAGGAGGGG